TATTGTGTTGAATTGTATCCCCCTAAACTTCCTATGTGGAGGCCCTACTGCCCAGTACCTCAGAATGTGACCGTATTTAGAAATAGGGTACTTTCAGATATAATTAGTTAAAATGAGGTCCCATAATCCAATAGGACAGGTATCCTTACAAAAAGGGGAAATTTGGACACAGTTGCCCACACAGGGAGATTGCTATGTAAGGATGAAGGGAGAGACTGGGGTGATGTTCTTACAAGCCAGGGAACTCCAAAGATCACCAGCAAACCACCAGAGGAGGGGAGAGGCAGAAAGCAGATTCTTTCCTCAGGGAACTCAGAACCAACCAACCTTTCCAGTATCTTGATGCTGGACTTAAACTTCTAGAACTGTGAGACAATAAATTTCAGTTTTTTTAAGCCACCCAGTCTGTGGCACTTTGTTAATGCAGCCTTAGCAAACTAATACACTATGTGTCCAGACACTATTATAGGAACCTGCATATTACTCATTTAATACCACCTCCATTTAGTTACTTTCACCTATTCCACTTTATAGCCAAGAAAACTGAGGCACATAGAAGGTAATTATTTTTCCCAAGTTCACAATTATTAAGTGGCAGAGGCAGGATTTGGGAAATGACACAAATGGTATTGACAGAGCAGTCCCATAGCATGGATGAATTATTTCAATTGTCTGGCCACTCAACATCAAAGTTTGATTCTCTGACCCTCTAAAGCTTTCTCTTAATGCACTTTCTAAAATGTTCTAGTTACTCCTTTCTGCTTTGTCTCACTGGAGGATCTCAGCTCTGGGCAAGATCACTCTGGATTTGGTGAGACCAAATAATGACAATGGAGTGTTGGGCGTAAAAGGGTTTGTACCAAGCTTTATTCTCATGGTGGCAGGTCCAGTGCTGGAATCACATCTGCATCTGGCAAGTCTGCAATTCACTTCAGACTCACCTGGAGCTCTTTGTACAGCAACACAGACAATAGAGGTTCACTGCCGACAGGTGTGGAAGCATGCACCTGCCCAGTAGACCAATTACATAACTGTACATGTGCTGTGGGCAAGTAGATTAGGGTCAGGGGAGGATCCTGACCATAGGAACTTCCATATCCCCCTACAGCTTAAACTTAGCTGGACTAGATTTAGAAGCCCTCAACTAATAACCATGACTGATAAGACCTCCAGTTAGGAAATGGAGTGCTGGGGCAAGCTGAAGTATGAACAGAACCTGACACTGGACCCAGAAAAAATATCCAAGTGATCTCTAACTACTTATTATATGGGTTTTGAGTTTACACAGAGCTAGTGAAGGGCCTATCTGACAAGCCTGGCCACAAAAATTAAATACTCTGATCTTAAAGTAGCTTCAACTAGTCTGACCATAAAGACTTTAAGACCTCTCTCCAAAAGCAAAGCTCTAGAAACTATACTGTAGTCCAACTGAGGGGTGGAGGGTAGTTAAGGAGAATAATGGAGGATTCCAAATAAAAGAGACTATAGATTAGTATTTGAGACTTGGCTTTTCCTACACATCAAAGCTGACAATGGCCCAAGCTTGATAACTGCTTTTCTTTATCTTTCATCACTCTTAATTCACTTTATGTTAACTCCCTGAGAAAACACTGCTTTCAGAAACTGTTTCACAACTTGATAAATATATTTTAAAGCAAAACATTTGCTTCAGATATGGATTGAATTGTGTCCCATAAAAATATCTGTTAATGGGGTGGGGGTCCGGCTCGCCCGGCCTACAGGCACAGACTTCCGGCTTGTCCTCGCCATCCTCGCACTTCCGCTGACGTTGCCGGTTAGAGGTGACAGGCAAGATGTCGGCTACTGGTCGCTGTGAGCTGTTGTTGAGACGAGCATCTCAGTGACAAGCTCCTCCGTGACAAAATTGCAGGAGCGAGTTGTAGGAGGTGGCGGATCTGGCACAGCCGGGTGTGGGCGCTGAGGAGCCGTGGCCGCGGGCCGTGACTGTGGGAGCGGGGAGTGTGAGAGCCGGAGACTGGTAATGCCCCGCTGCCCCCGGGGAAGCCGGGTGGCCCAGCGCTGCAGGGTCACTCCATGCCGCCGACTGGTCTAGAGCCCGCCAGAATGAACAGGAAGAAAGGAGACAAGGGTTTTGAAAGCCCAAGGCCATATAAATTAACCCATCAGGTCGTCTGCATCAATAACATAAACTTCCAAAAATCTGTTGTGGGATTTGTGGAACTGACTATATTTCCCACAGTTGCAAACTTGAATAGAATCAAGTTGAACAGCAAACAATGTAGGATATATCGAGTAAGGATCAACGATTTAGAAGCTGCTTTTATTTATAATGACCCAACCTTGGAGGTTTGTCACAATGAATCAAAACAGAGAAATCTCAATTATTTTTCCAATGCTTATGCAGCTGCAGTTAGTGCTGTAGATCCTGATGCAGGAAATGGAGAACTTTGCATTAAGGTTCCATCAGAGTTATGGAAACACGTTGATGAATTAAAGGTCCTAAAGATACACATCAATTTTTCTTTGGATCAGCCAAAAGGAGTTCTTCATTTTGTGGTACCCAGTGTAGAGGGAAGTATGGCAGAGAGAGGTGCTCATGTTTTCTCTTGTGGGTATCAAAATTCCACAAAATTTTGGTTCCCATGTGTTGATTCATATTCTGAATTATGTACATGGAAATTGGAATTTACAGTAGATTCTGCAATGGTGGCTGTTTCCAATGGAGATTTGGTGGAGACAGTGTATACTCATGATATGAGGAAGAAGACCTTCCATTACATGCTTACCATCCCAACAGCTGCCTCAAATATCTCCTTGGCNATTCCTGAGTTCTTGGATGTCTTTCTGTACCTCCATTAGAATGTTGATGATTTTTATTTTGAACTCCCTTTCAGGAAGAGTCACGAGGTCCGTATCATTTAAATCTTTCTCGGGAGTTGTATTAATAATTTTACTCTGGACAAGGTTCCTTAGGCGTTTCATGTTTGTATATGGTGCCCTCTAGTGTCCAGAAGCTCCATTCTGGAGCTGCTCATCCCCTGAAGCAATGTCGGGGGTCACAGGGGAGTGGTACTGGTGCCTGGGGGAGGAAAGAGCTGTTTCCCGCCTCCCGGCTGCTGTGTCTGTCTCCATTGCCTTAACCAGTTGGGCTGAGCACACAGGTATAAGCTTTTGTACCACAGCAGCCAGTTATGGATCTCTGCTTTCCACAAGTGGATGGAATCAGTCTCTCCAGGAATTCTGCCTGTATTAGCTTTCCAACCCGGTAATCGTGCGAGTATCATGAAAGCACCATGAAATGTAGGTTTGTGCTCCCAGTGCAGATCTCCGGAGCTAGGTGTTCAGCAGTCCCAGGTCTTCCACTCTCTTCCTGCTCCGTTTCCTTCCTCCCGCTGGTGAGCTGGGGTGGGGGAAGGGCTTGGGTCCCACCTGGCCACAGCTTTGCTAAGTTACCCTGTTCCATGACGTCTGCTCTTTTCTATAGGTCTGTGCAGTCTGGTGCCATCCTCTTTCCTGTTGCTCTCTCATGATTAGGTGCGCCAACTGTATTTTCTAGTTGTATACAGTTTTAGGAGGAAGCCTCTGTCTCTTCTCTTACACCGTCATCTTTAATCCATTCTTGCAGTCAGCTTTCTTTTTAGGAAGGTCACTATGCAGTAGGGTCTCCCAACCTGAACACTATTGACATTTTGGGCATAAGAATTCCTTGCTGTGGGGGGGGGCCTGTCTTGTGCATTGTATGGTGGTAGATAGCATCCCTGGCCTCTTCCTACAGGATGCCACTTACCCTTCCTCCTCCCACTCCACTCCAGTTTGACAACAGAAATGTATCCAGTTGCCAGATAACCCCCCGGGGGATAAAACCTCCCCTTATTGAGAGCCACTCCTGTGCAGCTCTGTAACATATGGATTCTAGTATAAGATGCTGCAGGCATAGGAACCAGGTAATTGGAGACTAGTACTGGAATCCAGATGAGGTGAAGTGGTCTGAATTAATACAGTTGTAAACAAGATGGGGGAGAGATTTAGGGTATACTTGTAAGTGGAAATCTGCAAGATTGGTAACCAACTGTCTACAAGGGAGCAGATCTGAAATGGTTCTTAAGTGTTTTTCTTGGTTGGCTGCATGTACAGCAGTACCGTTAACCTATAGTAATATAGAAAGAATTGTTTCTCAGGCTGTGGCCTAAGGATTGTGGGGTCTGGAGGAAGCAAGAAATTCTTACACACTATAGTCTGAGAACTACTATTAAAGAGTCCTAGACTGACAGAAGGTTAAAAATGGAAAAAACCTTCAAAGACATTTGATCCATTATTTAGGAGCAATAAAGAGAAATAAAGTACATGTCGGAAGGTTAACAGCTAAACCTGTTGAACAGCACAGGTCTCCTATTGGCCAGTTCCTTTTTTTTAAAATGACACTGGTCTTGTCTTTAAGTAGAGACACTCCCTTTTATAGACTCATCACCTTATCTGGGTTTCTTAAGCTATGTATATTGAGTCTATTTAAAAAGCCCACTTTTGCCTGTGTTATCCCAGAAATTGTCTTAAGGAAGTATAGAAATTTGGATTTTCACTGAGATGTCATTATCAGTAAGTAGCATAATGTCTTTGTGTGTATAAGTGATTCTCCAGATGGCAAAAATAAAAAAAAAATGCTTTTTCCACCTAATACCTTGGGGCAGAATTGAAGGAGCTAAGTTTTGCATTGATGAATGTGGATTTTAACTTATCATACACACTTGTAATCATTATGACTTCACAGTACTTTATTAATTACTAATTCTTAGAATGGTTTGGTAACACACTGCTGTATTTCATAATTTGTATAGATTTTAAGGAATTGAAATATTTAACTTTCTCAGCAGAATGCTGAAAATTTAGCTGTGCATAATTAATTGAAAGTCTTATTTAGGTAGTTCTCTCATTACTAATTATTCCCATGGAAATGACAAAACTCTTGGGAATCCTTTCCTATACTGCTCTCACTTTCGTTTCACTTTCCTTGTTATCAACAGGAATTCATTTGGGTGTTTTTAATCTTGAAGGTAAAGAACCATCATCTTTGGAGATGAGTATGCATCCAGTTGCAACAGCTCCACTGTCAGTGTTTACTAAGGAATCTACGTCCTCCAAACACAGTGACCACCATCACCACCATCACCATGAGCACAAGAAGAAGAAGAAGAAGCACAAACATAAGCATAAACACAAGCATAAGCATGATAGTAAGGAAAAGGACAAGGAACCTTTCGCTTTCTCCAGCCCTGCCAGTGGCAGATCTGTTTGTTCTCCTTCCCTTTCAGACTGAGAAGGGGCAGAGACCTTTCCCTCAGTGTCCAGAAAATACATAAGTATATATATAGAACTAAGCTTTGTCCTCTGTAAAGAACAAAAGGAAACAAAAACATAGTTAGCCATTTCATAAATTTCAGAATCCATATAAGTTCTAAACATTTGATTCACAGTATTTATACAATTGAGATCTAATTAGGAAAATGTGTTTTATAGTTCTGAATAAACCAGTTCATCCTGTTTTCTCCTTAAACACAAACACACGCCCAAATATCTTTCTATAAACGTCCTCATACCCACTGGCAGTCCCCATTCACATCATGGTCTCCATGTGTACTGCCAAAGCCAATTAGGCTTTAAAGTCTTTGGATGGCATGGGGCAAAGTTATGTTTTAAAAAGAAGCTATTGCCAAATCTGTGGTGAAACCACTATTTCCAGTGAAAACTGTATAATACCATTTGGAACTACTGAAAAAGGCTTTTCTATGGGAATGTTCACTATTACATGGGTTTTTTTGGGTGTTAACCATAGAGGCTAAAAATCAGAATTTATGATGAATACATTATATTCATTTACTCTGAAGTACTGAACTTTAAAGAAGGAGCTCTTAAAAAAATTTGAGTAACTGTTTGATACTGCATTCAGCAATTAGAGTGCTGGAACTTAACAGAACTCTCAAATCCATAACTGTTCTCAATTCAGGATGTTTAAATTACCAGTTCTTTTTCTCACTCGGTATGAATGAATATGTTCATATTCAGAACATGTTTGCTAAATATGGACAATTTATATACTCAGCACAATCTAAAAATTATTACTGTCTAAAACAAAGTTGGTACCTTAAAAAGGTGGTTATATACTGTTTATTAGGTTGCACATAGGCAGTTCAGCCCTCATGTGAGTAAAGCAGAAGCATTTCAAAAGAATGAAACATTTTGGTTTCATACTTCAGTAGTTTGTATGTTTGTCCTTTTATTTTTATTTCTGAATTTACCCTGTACTTTATTGTTTGTTTAAAAATGTTTTTCTCACTCACTCATTTTTATCATTTCCCTTATCATTAGAAAATTTAACAAAATACTTCTTCCCAGAATAGATATTTCAAAGGGATCCAATAATGTTGGACTTTTAAATATACTACTTTTAGTTGTGTTTAAGTTGTTTAATAAATAACTTTTTAAATTATCATTCTGCTTTGTATCTTTTTATATCTTTTGTTACCTTTCTCTGTGATGTATGTATTATATTACCTACTGACATAGATTGTGGAGAGTTTTGTGGACAGGTGGGATTTGAACTAGCCATGTTATGAAGAGAGTTTTCAGTAGGCAGAGATGGAGTAAAGTTCTCTCAGCAGAGGAAACAGTAACTTTCAAAAGTATGGAGGAAAGCAAAGTCATATTCAGGACTTGTATAGCAGTACTGTTGGACTGGAATGTAAGTACATAAGGACTGTGTTTAGACGTTGAAGGACCTAAATGGTAGTTATCTAAAAATTCCTGTTGAATGTTGCCCAACTGAAATTATTTTTGGAAAATGGGATATATTTTATATTACAGTGTGGAGTAATATCATATATAGAATCCCCAACTTTAAAAAGAGTAAGAATATGGGGGAATTACACTCCCCAACTACAAGCTCTACTACAAAGCCACAATAATCAAGAATTGGCACAAGAATTGATCAGTGGAATAGAATAAAGAGCCCAGATATAAACCCACACATACATGGACAATTAATATATGATAAAGGAGTCATGGATATACAATGGGGAAATGACAACCTCTTCAACAACTGGTATTGGGAAAACAGGACAGCTACATGTAAGATAATGAAATTGGATTACTGTCGAACTCCATACACAAAAGGAAACTCAAAATTGAAAGAAGATCTGAATGTAAGTCATGAAACCATTAAACTCAGAATAAAACAGGCAAAAATCTCTTGAATATAAACATGAGCAGTTTTTTCCTGAACACATCTCCTCAGGCAAGGGAAACAAAAGCAAAAGTGAACAAATGGGACTACATCAAACTAAAAAGCTCCTGTACCCCAAAGGACATGATCAGTAAAACAAAAAGGCATCTTACGGTATGGGAAAATATATTCATAAATGACATACCCGATAAGGGGCTAACATCCAAAATATATACAGAATTCACATGCCTCAACACCCTAAAAGCAAATAACCCGATTAAGAAATGGGCAGAGGATATGAACAGACACTTGTTGAAGAAATTCAGATGGCCAACAGGCACATGAAAAGATGCTCCATATTGCTAATCATCAGGAAAATGCAAATTAAGACCACAATGAGATACTACCTCACACCAGTTGGGTTGGCCACCATCCAAAAGACAAACAACAAATGTTGGCGAGGATGTGGAGAAAGGGGAACCCTCCTACACTGCTGGTGGGAATGTAAATTAGGTCAACCATTGTGGAAAGCAGTATGAAGGTTCCTCAAAAAACTCAAAATAGAAATACCATTTGACCCAGGAATTCTACTCCTAGGAATTTGCCCAAAGAAAATCAGGTCACATATTCAAAAAGACATATGCACCCTGTGTTTATCACATCACTATTTACAATAGCCAGATATGGAAGCAACCAAAGTGTCCATCAGTAGATGAATGGATAAAGAAGATGTGGTACATAAACACAGTGGAATATTATTCAGCTATAAAAAGAAAAATCCTTCCATTTGCAACAATACGGATGGAGCTGGAGGTATTATGCTCAGTGAAATAAGCCAGGCAGAGAAAGACAAGTACCAAATGACTTCACTCATTTGCGGAGTAAAACAACAAAGCAAAACTGAAGGAACCAAACAGCAGGAGACTCACAGACTCCAGGAAGGAACTAGTGGTTACCAACGGGAAAAGGGGTGGGAGGACTGATGGGGAGGGAGGGAGAAGGAGATTAAGCAGTATTATGATTAGCACACATAATGTAGAGGGGTGACAGGGAAGGCAGTGTAGCACAGAAGACAAATAGTGACTGTATAGCATCTTACTATGCTGATGGACAGTGACTGCAATGGATGTGTGTTGAGGGGACCTGATAATATGGGTGAATGTCATAACCACAATGTTCCTGAAGTGAAACCTTCATAAAATTGTACATCGATGATACCATAATTAAAAAAATAGTAAGAATACATTTCAAACTAATTATTAGTGTTGTAGGGAAGGAGTGACAAATAATAGCTACCTACATAATTTAAGCATGTCCTGTATATCAAGCATTGTACTTGAAACTAGGTTGTGTATGCTACTTCTTTCTTTTTATTTATTTATTTTATTTTGGTATCATTAATCTACAATTACATGAAGAACATTATGATTACTAGGCTCCCCCCTTTGCCAAGTCCCCCCCATATACCCCTTCACAGTCACTGTCCATCAGTGTAGTAAGATGCTGTAAAATCACTACTTGTCTTCTCTGTGTTGCACAGCCCTCCCCATGCCCACTCCACACTAAATGCTAATCATAATGCCTCCTTTCTTTTTCTCCGCCCTCGTCCCTTCCCACCTATCCCCCTCAGTCCCTTTCCCTTTGGTAACTATTAGTCCATTCGTGGGTTCTGTGATTCTGCTGCTATTTTGTTCCTTCAGTTTTCCTTTGTTCTTATTCTCCACATATGAGTGAAATCATCTGGTATTTGTCTTTCTCCACCTGGCTTATTTCACTGAGCATAATACCCTCTAGCTCCATCCATGTTGTTGTGAATGGTAGGATTTGTTTTTTTCTTAGGGCTGCGTAATATTCCATTGTGTATATATACCACGTCTTCTTTATCCAATCATCTACTGATGGACATTTAGGTTGCTTCCATATCTTGGCTATTGTAAATAGTGCAGCGATAAACATAGGGGTGCATCTGTCTTTTTCAAACTGGAGTGCTGCATTCTTAGGGTAAATTCCTAGAAGCAGAATTCCTGGGTAAAATGGTAAGTCTATTTTGAGCATTTTGAGGAACCTCCATACTGCTTTCCACAATGGTTGAACTAATTTACATTCCACCAGCAGTTTAGGAGGGTTCCCCTTTCTCCACAGCCTCGCCAACATTTGTTGTTGTTTGTCTTTTGGAATGATAGCCATCCTTACTGGTGTGAGGTGATATCTCACTGTGGTTTAATTTGCATTTCTGTGATGATTAGCAATGTGGAGCATCTTTTCATGTGTCTGTTGGCCATCTGAATTTCTTTTTTGGAGAACTGTTCAGTTCCTCTGCCCATTTTTTAATTGGATCATTTGTTTTTTTACTGTTGAGGTGGGTGAGCTCTTTATATATTTTGGATGTCAAGCCTTTATCAGATCTGTCATTTACAAATATATTCTCCCATACTGTAGGGTACTTTTTGTTCTATTGATGGTGTCTTTTGCCATACAGAAGCTTTTTACCTTAATATAGTCCCACTTATTAATTTTTGCTTTTGTTTCCCTTGCCCGGGGAGATATGTGCAATAAGAGGTCACTCATGTTTACGTCTAAGAGATTTTTGCCTATGTTTTTTTCTCAGAGTTTTATGGTTTCATGACTTACATTCAGGTCTTTAATCCATTTCAAATTTACTTTTGTGTATGGGGTTAGACAGTGGTCCAGTTTCATTCTCTTACGTGTAGCTGTCCAGTTTTGCCAGCACCATCTGTTGAAGAGACTGCCATTTCCCCATTGTATGTCCATGGCTCCTTTATCATATATTAATTGACCATAAATGTTTGGGTTAATATCTTGGGTCTCTATTCTGTTCCACTGGTCTGTGCCAGTACCAAATTGTCTTGATTGCTGTGGCTTTGTAGTAGAGCTTGAAGTTGGGGAGCGAGATCCCCCCAACTTTATTCTTCCTTCTCAGGATTGCTTTGCCTATTCGGGGTCTTTGCTGGTTCCATATGAATTTTTGAACTATTTCTTCCAGCTCATTGAAGAATGCTGTTGGTAATTCGATTGGGATTGCATCGAATCTGTATATTGCTTTGGGCAGGATGGCAGTTTTGATGATACTAATTCTTTCTAGCCAGGAGCATGGGATGAGTTTCCTCTTTAATTTGTTAGTGTCCTCTTTAATTTCTCTTAAGAGTGTCTTGTAGTTTTCAGGGTATAGGTCTTTTACTTCCTTTGTTAGGTTTATTCTTAGGTATTTTATACTTTTTGATGCAATTGTAAATGGAATTGTTTTCCTGATTTCTTTTTCTATTAGTTCATTGTTAGTGTATAGGAAAGCCATAGATTTCTGTGTATTAATTTTGTATCCTGCAACTTTGCTGAATTCCAGTATCAGTTCTAGTAGTTTTGGAGTGGAGTTTTTAGGGTTTTTTATGTACAATATCATGTTATCTGCAAATAGTGACAGTTTGACTTCTTCTTTACCAGTCTGGATTCTTTGTATTTCTTTGTTTTGTCTAATTGCTGTGGTTAGGACCTCCAGTACTATGTTGAATAACAGTGGGGAGAGTGGGCATCCCTGTCTTGTTCCTGTTATCAGAGGAAATGCTTTCATCCTCTCGCTGTTCAGTATGATGTTCACTGTGGGTTTATCATATATGGCCTTTATTATGTTGCGGTACCTGCCATCTATACCCATATTGTTGAGAATTTTTTATCATGACTGGATGTTGAATTTTGTTGAATGCTTTTTCAGTGTCTATGGAGATGATCATGTAGTTTTTGTCTTTCTTTTTGTTGATGTGGTGGATGATGTTGATGGATTTTCGAATGTTGTACCATCCTTGCATCCCTGGGATGAATCCCACTTGGTCATGGTGTATGATCCTTTTGATATACTGTTGAATTCTGTTTGCTAATATTTTATTGAGTATTTTTGCATCTACATTCATCAGGGATATTGGTCTGTAATTTTCTTTTTTGGTGGGGTCTTTGCCTGGTTTTGGTATTAGGGTGATGTTGGCCTCATAGAATGAGTTTGGGAGTATTCCCTCTTCTTCTATTTTGTGGAACACTTTAAGGAGAATGGGTATTATGTCTTCTCTGTGTGTCTGATAAAATTCCGAGGTAAATCCGTCCGGCCCCGGGGTTTTGTTCTTGGGTAGTTTTTTGATTACTGTTTCAATTTCTTTGCTTGTAATTGGTTTGTTTAACTTTTGTGTTTCTTCCTTGGTCAGTCTTGGGAGGTTGTATTTTTCTAGGAAGTTGTCCATTTCTTCTAGGTTTTCCAGCTTGTTGGC